TACCCAATGTTAACTTTACATTCCAAAGATAAAGTTTTTCTTTTCTTGTTTGATGCAGAAGAATCAGTTCTACTTCGTTTAGATGACACAGTAGTCTCTCAAGTCTCCGTAGATATAACAAACATAGAAATAAATAACACAAAATAAATTGTAGCTATGTGTCGATTCCGCGCGACACGTCCGAACATGTAAGATGAATAATAGTGTCGGGAAATGAGTAATCAAGAGTTGCGTGGCGTTCAAACAAAAGACGAATCGACGAGATTTGAAAATCGCGTAACTCCGGGTTCGCGTAAGTCGGGGTAGCGTAAGTCGAGGTATTACTGTTTATGATCCATATTAATATATGATCCATATTAGGTTATTTATGTTATATTATAAACTAGATCGGATTAGAAACTGAATTCGACTTAGTTTATAATTTAACATGAATAGTATCTTGAACAGTAAAAGGTCATTAATCTGATCGACCAGATATCGGACTTTTACTGTTCAGGATAAGAAATATTATGTCAGCATAATATACTGTACACTTTAACATCTATTTGACATCTTATTTACACTTACTTTTTTTTTTTTTATAAAAACATAGGCTAATAACGCCAAATTGATATGACTATACATTATCAGAACAAAATGAACCTTTATATACAGTAATACGAACACTTAATCTACAGGAAAAACGCCAGTGAGATAAAGTCCCTAAGACAAAACCACCGCCCATGGTCTGATATGCCTAGGGGTATTAACGAATGGGCATACACCAACTAATTTCGAGGTCCCCAAAATTAGATCTAGATATGTTAATTCACCATTGATCAGATAACATTGTACTGTACATTCCTTATTCAACAGAAGTTTATAGTTCTAATAGATTAGCCTACTGTTAATGGATAATCATACCTATGAAACTGTTCTGTAATAAATTACTGGTACTATTTTCACTTGTTTAATTATTTACGCAAAATAATTGTTTAATAATATATTAATATATCTGTAATCAAAAGGAATTATATTGAGAATTTTTTAGTTGATTCCAACATATATAATTACATATTTATATATCGAGCTGGAGCAAACTAGTACCGAAGAGGTCCATTTCCTCGACATCGGAATAAAGATAGTAGGACCCACCATCCAAACAGCCGTATACATATTTTCCTTAAATAATAGCCTATTTCCTACATATTAAATCCATAAAAATTATAGAGATAAGCCGGATATAGGTTTAAATTACAATATTATTGAATAATTCGTTATGATTGGCATTCTCTTATCAAACTTTACAAAGTTTCTTATCAAAATTAATTTCATGAAGGAATATAATTTGCAGTAATTAAAACTTATCTAGCATCTACGAAGAAATAAAAAAAAAAAAAAGGAATTAAAGTTGAAACCATACTCAGAACTATATCTATAATAATTCATACTGCATACAGATTCATCCATTCCTTGTTTCAGATATAAATGAATCATAAATACCTAAATCATGAATCATACATTGTGTATAACTGAAGTAAGGAATTTATAGAATAAGAAAATTAAGAAAAATTGACTCAATGGAAAAGAAATTGAATCATTGTATCCTATTACAAGGTACGAAATTAATTATAATGATGAATATTAATAAGAAGTTCTGAAATAATTCACTAGAAGCCTTAATTACTAGAAGCCTTCGCTACTTTTAAAACATAAAATAACGTTTCAAACTGAAAAATATGAAAAATTGATTATATTTTTCAACGCGTATCATATAACACTAATATCATTTATGGCCCGAAGCACTTATTAACTTTAATGTAGAGGAAAGATTTTGTATCGTATACGAGAATGGGATTACCTTAGTCGCCTCAGTCGGACGACACGGCAAACTGGTCCACATTGGCTTAATTTAGATGAGTAAACATTTCGGATGTCGGCATCCGGGCATCAAAGAAGTTTCGAAAGCGCTAATAACTAGTTGTCAAAAATTTCCGACCCCGGCTGATTGATTGTCATAGAATTTTGCTCCCCGCAGCTATCGCCTCGTTACCGCGCTCTGTAAATATAGACTTATTTTGGTACTGCTTTTATTTAAATTTATGTATGCTCGTCGGTTTTTCTTAGTTTTATACCATTTTTCTGTCGCTATTTAAAATGAATAGCAGAGTTTGAAGAATCGATCTGCATAAAAAATTATATATATATATTTATATATGCATAATTCCCACACGTGCCGAATGCTGCCAGGGTAATAAACTCGATAGATACGATTTTAATTTATTGGTAAATCCGAATGATAGGAACCAGAATTAATATTTTTGCTTTCGGGCGATAGAGGTCGTTACATACCAGTTTTCTACCGTGCGAAAGTTTCGTCCATTGTCGTCCCTAATATATTTTATTGGGAAAACTGCAATATAAGCGAATAATAAAATAGAATAAAGGAATTTAAATAGATATTTTTTAAAAGAGACGAAAGCAAATCGGGAACGGAACTGACCACTCGAGGGACGGTCGTTATTGATTATTTGTCTTCGAGAAAGCGATAAGGAATCTGAGATCATTGACGGATGGTCAATATCCAGTATCTAGACAAGTAGAATTTGCACATCAAAGCGTCACGCGAAGGGTAATCCGTCACGTGACATGCCTTACGTGTGGCCTTCGTGTCCGTCTCGGCTATTTACCTGGGAGGATGTTCGCCATCTGAGAATATGTCAACATTTTCTGTCCGTGGAAAGCATCGAAAGCCAACAGTCTACACTTGTCTGCACGCATGCACCAATATGGCTCCTCCCCGGTGTGACGTCATAGTCGAGGAGCGATAGAAGGCGCGTGCAGTAGCGTTAGTGTTAGGGAGGAAAGCTATGGCGGTGCGCTTGGCTCGGCATCCGGGCGCATAAGAGAAAAGAGAAGATGAACGAAGAGAACATCGTCGAGAACTGGCTCAAGTCTCTCCATTTGGGTCGCTACGCGCAGAGTTTCATCGACAACGGTTACGACGATCTAGAAATCTGCAAACAGATAGGAGAGCCAGATTTGGATGCCATCGGGGTGTCGGATGCCACTCATCGCCAGCAGATCCTGCGAGCCGTCAGGGTGTTGTTGGAACATGGAGGAACGGCCGTCTACTTCACTCTAGAGGAGAATGCCAGACACGGCCTAGACCCGACCGACAGTATTAAGGAAGCATTGGTCAAAGAGAAAGAGGCCATCAGGGCAGCGCATTCCCCCGCAAAGAAGTATGTAGACGAATACGAAGAAGGAAAAGCGGAATTCGTCAGATTCCCCAAAATGCAACTCAAGATGATCATTAGAGATAAACTGGTACGAGATGGAATCCGTCTCAGTACTCAACCTTACACCAATCCGGTGAGTAATGCCAAAATATATTCCTCCACGCAAAACACACTTTCTTTCCTACTCTCCCTTCTCTTTTATTATTGTTCACTAACACCAAGGCTCGCTAAGCGTTTCTTACTTGTCCATCCAGCAAAACCCACTTAGCTTCTCTTCCACCACCTAAACGCTTGACTTGTTTATCCCATTTACAAAGCATAGACAAATAAAAAGTAGACACTATCTTTCTATTTGGACCATAACCTTCCGGATCGATGAGAGAATTAATTTGATTATTCGTTATACGAGTGGTAAGCGTCACGTTTCGGCTATCCGCTCTCATCCCTTATGTCAATACAAGCCCGTTTGCTATAATAAAACTACATTTTCTTATTCTTGCTTATTAAAAATGTTTAACGCGTAACTCTTTCCCGCGAACAAACTAGTTTGATTAATGTTCGAAGGTCCGAGCAGGTTTTTTCCCCCCACTACACCCGACTGCCTAAAAATGGAATTTTGTCAGGGAAAATTCCCCGCGTAATCTTTTTTGTTTTAGGGAATTGCCTGCCGATATGCATTCTTATCGACGCGAATCGAGGTCGAAAACCTTGACTTTCATCTCCGGGGATTAGAAAAAAAACAACACATTTTAGATTTTCTACCTTTTCTGTTTTTTTCTTTGTGGAAAATGTTCCGTTCGAAGAGTTTCGCGTGATAATTAGGAACCAATAGAATACTTAACGTCTTGCATGTTGCTTTGGCAGCTGTCGTTATCGCGTGCTACGAAAAGAGCAGCTGTTTCTAGTAAGGAACCACAATATTTTGCTCTAAATAAAATCCACAAACAAGAAATATTTCTTTCTTTTCCATTAAATAAAGTCCTTTTATTTATTTTTCAGCTTAAATGTTTATTCTTCTAGTCTCTTTCCGCTTGAAACTCAATCAAATTTGTTTTTCGTGAGTAAATTTTTTACTAGTTTTTTTTTTTTTAAACTACGGTTACAAAAAATGAAAAAAATAGGAATAAATATAGACTTTGTGAGACTTCATATAACAAACTTCAGCTTACCGAATTAAATTTACCTTTCGACTAGTAAAAATATTTTTATTCCCGTTAGAATTTTTACAATTATTTTTTCTTTTAGTGTCTTTTAGAGAAAATAATCCAAGGAATATCTGCATTTTGTTGCAAATGATTTTAGAGTTTGCGGTATTCTTTATTTTATAAATGCCAACTTATTTAAATTGTTGCAAAATATTTTTACATAAACTTATTACAGATTCAATTAATGTTAAATAAGTTATGTTCAATGGCGGTTTGTTTGCCTGTTAGGGAGGGGCATTTTAATTTCCTTCGACGTTCTTTTGCTCGTTTTTAATTTTCTTTCTTTTTTTTTCTCTTATTCATTGTTATAATTATTCTACTTAATTTCATTTCGAGACACGTATCTCTCTCTCTTTCTCTTTTATTATATGTACTCAATATTTCTCTTGGTAATAGTTTCGAGCGATAACGACTTTCCGAAAGAGAAAAATAGCGTTTTTCTCAGATTAATATAGCCTTTACCTCCTTGCTAGAGGAGTTATCTTGTCATCTCCCCTTTACCTAACCAGATAAAAGTTTCTACAAACGATCCTATCTTCACTTCTCTTTTTATAATAGCGACATTTTTTTTTTAAAAGAAACTTCTAACATATTCGTAAAGTAACCCGCTTCGTTTATGTTCACGAAATGCCCATCCTTGCCTGCACAATCCTTATCGGTTTCCTACGGCTGCAAGCAATTTTCGACTTAGTCCATTTCCTTAAATTTCTTACTGGTGTAAATGGATTTCTCGAAGAACGGCTCGGAAAAATTGTTTAGAAATTAATTGGCTAATTTGTTTTGCATCAGAATATTAGTTAATTTTTTTTTTCTTTTTATTTTTTCGTTTGATAAAATTAAATTTTAATAGGACGATAAAATAAAATTTGCAAATCATTAGCAATTTAAAAAAGTGGAAAGCCGTTTTATTTTTCATTGATTTAATGTCAGCTCTGGAAGAGAAGAAAGACCTTACCGGATCGATATTTTGGTGACAGAAGTGGCAAAAAGCTGCTGCCCGGATAATTGATTGCTTATTTATATAAAAAGGGTAAGCAATCAATTGTTGCGAGAGTTTGGAAGACCATCTCGCTAATAATTATAATGTACGTCGGTTTAATGTCCAATCTCGGATGCACGACACGATGCATATTTATTAATGCCGCATCACCTTCAATTCTGTAAATGTTCTCGAGTTTTAAATCATTCGATACACCCTTCGGATTTTGGATAAGTACTTTGGTTTAATCTCTCTTAAGATGCTTCAAACTGGCTTCCAAACTTCGGAAATTATCGAGAAATTGCTGATTAAACGATCGATCTTCCGTAGATGCCATCTTTGTTTTCGGTTCTTTGCTACAATTTATGCTTTAGTAATAATTTCTTCGCGATAATTCTCGAGATATTTCTTTTCTAACTTCTATTCCTAGTGCTTTCCTCCCCAAAGTAGAGTGTATTTAAAACAAATCAGTGACATTTGCCATCCTAATTGATGTAGGAGGAGGAGATTCGACGGTTACTCTATGGAGAAATACGACTTTTAACATCTCTAATTAAGTATTCCGTGTCGTATTCACTCACCAACAAGCGATCGGCATTGATTACGCTACTCTATCGATCCTCTAGTCTTCGGTCGATGAACACACTCTTAAATTTGGTGCGGAATTGGGAATCACGTTCATTTAAAACCGAAACGAGATTGATATATCCGCGTTGGACCGTCCAATTCGACTAGGATTGGCCTTAGGAGCTCACGAAGAACGATTTTTACTTTTCTTATTTTGCATTCTTTCTACGGAGACAGCATCTCCGGTCACGAACCCACCGCGCCACTCGTCATCCTCCTCCACTTCATCCTCCTAATAGCACTGTTCTCGCCGTGTGACTTACAAGCCTTAATTCCATCCAGATATTCTCGAATTCTACCGTAATCATTTATTCAAATGACTACTTTATCAAATTTGAATCACTCTTCTCCGCATTAAACCGACATCTCCACCTCCAAAGCCAATATTTAGCCTAAGGCTACTTTGCTTCTTGGATACTCAAAGACTCATTTGGTCACAGTAGAAAAACTTTCCGAGCTTATTTAACTTTCTAAAATCAATGAAAAGATAGAAAATAAGTTCGATATTTTTCAAAAAAGAAGTTTCCTTTCGCGTAATGCCATTAAAAATAAACTTTCTTTTATATTAAAGTTCGCACATCGTAATGTCACGCTTATCCCATTGAGGTTTATTTTTAATCTAGAAAAATTCTGAATTCCTGTTGAACGTTTCCTATGATAAATGCATTCTTTTTTGATTTACAGAAGAGTTTTTATTGCTGGACTAACATATATCCTCATAAATATCCGCATTTCTTGTTTGCAGCATCAGGAATTCCTGAAGCATCTTCAAAAAGTAAATCTTTCGTTTGGTATAATCGGCATTTTTTATTCTTTCTTTGACAGAAGAATGGAAGAAAATAATAATAATAAATTTTTTATAGATGATGTACGGGCCAAATGGAGTAAAATTTGTTTAAAAATTTCTATAAGTAATTTTGTTTTAATTAAAAATTCACTGTTTTTAAACATGGAGGTTAAGAGAATCGAGTGTAGTACAGTATTTGTATTCCTGGTGTATAAGCTAATCGAAGACAATTGAGAGAAGAATGATTTGGTCATTTTCGACCAAGTAAGAGGAGGAAAAGACGTCTTCTGTTCATAACTTCTAAACGAGATCATTACGGAGCTGTTGTCCGAAGGATGCGAGACGTTGCCAAATGGAACAGACCACCATCGATTTGTCACAGTTCTACCGGTCAGATAAGACCTTAGATGTCAGGCTCTTTCCGTCGGCTTTACTCGACTCTTGGTCTGTCTTATAGATTGACACAACCCAGCCTCGGGGTCACCGAATTGATTAATTTACCAGAAAACAGTTTCCGATTGTGCTTCGTTAGCGATTACCTTGATTGTCCGTTAAAAATCGAGATAAATCCAAAAATTCTGGACGTATGCGTTGTCTTTTGATGACCGAATCTATACATTTATATATAAATTTTTTGCTTTCCTGGTTGCGTTCAAAGCCCCCTCTTATGTAACAATCCGGCCCAGCGGGTGACAAATGGCTGTATAAGCTGCCTAGCCCTAACAACTACCATTATTGTAGCCTTCGTTAAGGTTTCGCTTTCTCCTTAATTGGTGTTGCTGTCTCCTCCTATCGTGCCGATGACAACTTCCTCCCTCTTCATTCATTCTCCGACTTACCCTTATTAGTACGTTATTTTACCTCGTTGGAGATTTAGCATTTGTTATCCTCTGTTTAATATCAGAAATAGTGTTTTGTAAATACGCGGGGTTTTAAAATAATGGATCTAAATATTGATATAAGAATTCCAACTCCCGAACTAGTTTTTGCGGGTGGTCTCTGAGATTAAATTGTAAATCTTTCGTCGCTCGCCTCGAACAAAAGTATTTTCTTTGCTGGTATTTGTATAGAATCAGGGAAAGAGGCCGAGGTGGTCCGAGACGGATGACCTCATTGTCCAGACTAACCTGGCCGCTTTTGCTGTGGGCAACGACCTTGAATCGTGGCCCATATTCTTCAATCTAGACCCGACCCCGGTTTTAAATATATAACTAAAAATGAATTTATTATCCGCGCAGGCCCCTTAAATTTGTTTCCTCTCTCTAATTAGTTTTTCTCTCAATCAAAGTCTTCGACAATGAAAGAGGATGGGAGAAAAATCTCTAGTGTGTGTAACTAGCTCTATTCTTTTTATAATCAATAGAAACGATCTGTGAGAATCTCCATCCGTTCCCAAGGTATTAACAAATAGATCTTGCATTAGAAACAATTTTATTCTTTAGGAGAAACAAACTATTATTTTTTATTTTTTATTTTAGAATGACAACCAGTTGATAAAATACAAGGACCTTCTCCAAACGCATTACCATCTTTTA